ATAGATAGATAGATAGATAGATAGATAGATAGATAGATAGATAGATAGATAGATAAAAAAGAGATAGAGCTGGAGATGTCACGACAGAGAGAGAAAGAGAGAGAGACACAGAGAGAGAGAGAGAGAGAGAGAGAGAGAGAGAGAGAGAGAGAGAGAGAGGAGAGAGAGAGAGAGAGACAGAGACAAAGACAGAGGCAGAGACAGAGAGAAAGGGAGAGACAACAATTATTGATACATGGGGAACGCTAACGAGGGAGAAAGAGAGAAATAGAAAAAGAAGATCTCCCCAAATCCCCGATCACCCACCACAAACATGGCCTCACTGGCCTCCTCTATGTCCAGCTTCTCCACCACTCGGCCCAGAATGTCTTCCGCCTGGTCGTAGGCGATCTCGTCGTTAGACACGCCCCCTTCCCCCGTGGACATCCGGGGCTGGACCTCCAGAATCGTGTCTGGCCAGAATGTGACAAACTATCAGATGTTTGCTTTAGTAAGAATTTTACGGCGCTCGCAACTGCATAAGGTCATAATAATATGAGTGCGCAAAGCACAAATCGGTTGCACTCACAACAGTTCATTGCACGGCTTGGCTCGGGTCAATGATCAGATTTTAAAATGTTAAAACACCTGAGGCGAAGTAGCATCCAAAAAATGACAACTTGCTTAAAAAATCAAAATAACGGTATTTACAATTTTTCGTAAAGGCCAAAGGCCTTTTATAAAATCAAGGATTCTGTTAGAATCAAAGACGGAAAACAGATTTTGCAATTTTTTGCATTTAAAATATTTCCTTCGGGTCTCTCCGAAGTCTAAATATCCTGTTAAAATGTGTCTAATGGTAAAATTTGTGTGGCACCCGACACAGAACGGCTTCTCATCTCCCTGAAGGAGGTATTTGTGTGTTTGGGACGTGTGTCCGATGTGTAATCGAGTAAAAATAAGTTTGTCTCTACTGGAGAGGTCCACAGGTTTTGGTGGATCCAGTTTGGGCTTAATGCTGTGTAGTTTATTATTTATTTGATTCTTCTAATGTGTCTCCCACAGACTGGAGGAAATTAATAGAAACGACAGGTATTTTAGTTTGCATATAAATGGATACATTACATTATTCAAGAATAGGTGCGGGACCTGAACTGAAACTAGACCCCCCCCCCCCCACTTCCACATGCATTTTAATTTATTGTACAACACAACACCATGTTTTAAGACGGTCACCAGTCTAAGACCTCAACTTTTCTCTTTGTCCTTTCTATTAAGATCAATGTAGAGCTACACCTTCTCACAGATAGACTTTAAAAAGTGGCTGAACCCCCCCACTTCCAGTCTGTGAGAGGAACAGTGGAACCAATAAATAAGTAAAAAGGAACTCCACTATGCTCAAGTTGTGTGCACAAAAACTTTCAGGTACCGCCAGACAAGACGAAGCTAATATTTTAAGAGAATTAAATATTGGACATACTTCTCCGATACACAGATACCTTTGTCGAAAGTAATGCCGACCAAACGATCCAGAACATCCAAATAGAATGTCCAGACTTTGGGGAGACCCAAAAGAAATATTCTAAATGCACTAATTTGAAGAAAAAAAATGTTCAACGGAATTCTCAATTTTATACAGATCAATAGTCTTATAGCAACAACAACAACAGCGACGACGACGACAACAACAACAACAACAATAACAGCAACAACAACAACACCACTACCACCTCCAACAACAGCAACAACAACCCTAACTCACTCAACAAGGCGTGTGTCTCGTTCATCTGAAAGGCAATGTTGGCGTTCTCGTGCATGCCAAAGATCTCCGGTTCATCGATGATTGGGAGCGTCTCGATATACTTGAGGCACTGCTGTAAGGTCTTGGAGTGAGGGGCGTAGTATATGCCTGGCGAAACGGGATCCTATCTTACACATGGGTTTTTAAATATTAAAAAAAATGATTTCGCATTTTATTGATCCCCGTGGGGGGAAATTTGGGTTACAGTGGCAAACATATTACATACATAAATACATGATTAAAAATATACATAAAATATACATACATTAATACATACACAAATATACGAATATCACAAAAGTACAGAACTATTTCACAAACATGCCATTGCTGGTCGCCATTGGACATCTTTCTGTGGTTTTTTTTAGCTCGGGTTGTCGTGTCTTGCTCGAAGACACACCCCAGTGACCACCTATCTAAACCCCGTGTCACCGACACTTGCTTGACATTACTTTTTGAGTCTGAACTCATTACTCACTTGCCACTGGAGCCCGCCCCCGACAAAAAAGGTGAATTTGTAGATGACCTAAATTTATAGAAAGAAGCTTGCCCTATCAGATAGATGGTATTGGAGACCAACTGGAAAAAGAAGGAGAGGCAGATCAACTGGAAGTCACAGAAGCACAATCAAGGATTTAGCGATCACCCAGAACCTGGATGGCCCAAGATTGGAGAAAGTGGCCCGGGACAGACACGCGCGATGTCAACTGCTCTCTGCCTGATGTACCTGACGGTATATTGGGAGAGGGGAGGGGGGAGTTTGTAGATGACTGACTACTTCATGTCACACACTGTCTACGGTTGTTCGTCTAAGTCATCATGACTTGAGACTTCTCCTTGTGTGCACGCGTGAGTGACACCACTGCCATTGTAAACGACCAAGACTATTTGTTTTCCTTGGGAAATAAAGAAAGACTTTCATTAACATTAACATGACCCTAAAAATATTTTTAAAACAGCAACTGAAAAGCTATTTGTTATCGTTTTGTTGGACAGACAGACAGACAGACAGACAGACAGACAGACAGACAGACAGACAGACAGACAGACAGACAGACAGACAGACAGACAGACAGACAGAGACA